CGAGTTTAATTATTGAAAATACTTTTAATTAATTATGTAATCGGTAAAGAAATCCATAAATTTTAGCACAAGGAAAACTCACTATTACATAAAGGATGAGCTTTTGCGTTTTTCATATTCCTCACATGCTTGAAGAGAGATAATCCGGAATAATTTTTTTTGAAATGTGTGCAAGAAGTATGGGGTATCAATCCCAACATTACAAAAGGGACAAGTAAACAAATACAAACACTTTTTCTTACAAAACCCTTTAAGAATCTCAGCTTGAACCGAAATTTTATATTTTATAGAATAAAAATTAAGCATTTATTCAAGTTAAGAACTTCCATAGAAGACATATGAAGTGAAAACGAATCTTGTCTTTAGAGAAAACATCGTCGATATATCTGAAAATTAAAGACAGAAGCAAAATCTAAGACGTCTTTCAGTTTACTTTTCGTATAAATGCTTTTTCATACGAATACAAAAATAGATCTGATTATAAAAGAGAATAATAAGTTCCCAGGGTTCTTCGAACAGATTGTGGAAGACTTTATCTTCATAAGTGAAATATGGAAATAACGAAGGGTATTCAATCCCGAAGTCCAAAATTTAAACATTACATATTGGGAGCAGAGCAAACACGAACCCAGAACGTCAGAGGGAATCAGGTGCCATAGAGGAGTAACCAGCTTTGTCTATCGGTTAATCCGGCAGTGTACTTCTAGTCATACGGTAATTGGGTAATTTAAAAAATCAGGAAAAAATTCAGTGTTTAAATAATGGCCTAAGATTTGTTTGAAAAAGGTCAGTCATCATTTTACCTAATGATGGATTGTATAAGCTGATAAAGTCATTATATCGGCAATAGAACTTCCGAAATGATATAATCAAACGAGATCATTGTTTGTTAATACCTTTTCACATTTTAAAAAAATGACCGTACAAAGAACATGCTCTTGCGTATCACTTCAACTAAAAGACTTGACTCCCACATACAGGTGATATGGGTATATTGCTTCATAAGGGAAGCTGAAGCTGACAATAGAAAATTCAAAATCATCATGTTTATCATAACGTTTGTTGCTTCTGTAGGTAACCGTCTTCTATTTTTTTTTAGAATAAAATCTAAATGAAACAAATGTGTCAGACTTTATGTTGTCTTTCATTTCAAATTCATGTGGATATATCAAATCGAGAAAATAAATGGACGTTCCTAAGGTTAATTGATAATATGCCGTCGATTTATCTCAATGTCGAGTTGATAACAACAGTGAAACATATGGAGATAACGAACAGTATGCAAGATCAGAAGTCCATAAAACAATTCAAAATAGGAGCAGAGCAAACACAGACCTCCAATACATCGGAGGTGGGATAAGGTGTCATGTAGAAGTGAGCATCCCTTGCCGACCGGTCACATCCGTCGTGTGCTCCTTGTCATGATCGGAAATAACGGGAAAATCCGTCGTCAATACGCCAGTTTCGAGATTGTAACTCTCCTACGATAGAGGCGCAAAAAGTATCCATTTTGGCAGGGAGGTGGGACAGGTTGTTTCTGTACACAAACGTGCATAAGTAAATGAACGATATTTATGGCTTTTAAAATTTATTAAATGTTATAAAAAGATAATGATATTAAGCAGTGATGCATTTGATGATTTTATCAAGTTCAACTATGCATATTTACAAATCTACTTTAAATTATAGGTACTTGAAAACGAAAGAAACGTCAGAGTCTTAATAAAAAGTAACCGATTTTCTTGATCGTACAACCTTCCTTTTTTTTTTTTTTTTTAAATTTTGTGGGTTTTTTGAAATTATAATAAGGAAAAGAATCAATGTGTCATTTAGATCGCCTACGTACAATGATCAGATGCATGTGTACCGGTTTTATTAGAGGTCCTAATTTCTTCCCTCGTCTGAAAAGTCTCACATCCACCGACATTTTCTTTTTTGTTACGATTTTTTAACTTGAGAAAATGACTTCTTTAAATTGATTCGGTTATTCTCGAAATGTAGAGTGCATCCTGACAATCATGTAGTTATGATAAACCAGTATATCGGTGATACAATGTATCCAATATATAAATATCAAATATAGTTGTCCCACCTGTTTGTTTACGCGGCAACGAAACTCCCCTCCTTAACGAAAGAGCGCACCAAGGGAGATAATCTCGAAACTTGCGTATTCAGTGTATAAATAATGGATTCACAATTAGTATAAAAAACGTCAGTCAGCATTTGACTCAATGATAAATTATGTTTGCTGACGAGATCATAGTATCGCCAATAGAACTTACGAAATGATGACTTTAAACGAGACCGCTGAAATTCTTGTTTCCTCAAATTGTTGTCAACAATTTACCTCGTTTTAGAAATTGTTCATACGTAGAACATGCTCTTGTGTATCGAATCAACTGAGATATACAAACTCCGTATGCAGGTTATTAAGGTACATGTATATTGCTGCATAAGTAAAGGAAGTTGACGATAAAAAAGTTATAGTCATCACGTTTATCATAGAGCTTGGTTGTTAGATTACCATATACTTCTTCAAGTAAAATATCCAAATATGAAACAGATGTGTAAGACTCCGTGGTATCTTAAGCTCGCCAGAATACATTGTATCGACATAAGAATGGAAATTACTATTGTTAATTGACAATACGTCATCGAAATATCTAAGTGTCGAGTTGAAGGCCACAGCAAGTGTTTATTCTTATATGTTTATATATATGTTTATTCACATATTCTGCTTTATATGAATACAAAAATAGGTCTGCTAATAACTGGGCGCAATTGGTACCAGTGAGAAATCCAATATATAGTTGGAAGGCCTGGTTCTCCAAAAACAACGTAGATATTGTCAATCAGTAACTCAAGCGTCTTTTTAATATCAACTTCAGAGTACTTGTGTGTACAATCAGAATGTTTTTTAACGAAATAATTTTGCAAATGACTAATGACAAGGTGAGTAAATTTACGAGTTCCATTTTTATAGAAAAAGCAACTGTCAATGATATCAAAAAGCCTGGACTTCAATTTATCGTGGGGAATGGTTGTGTATAAGTTGAAAAGCCGTAAGTTTATAAGCTTTCAATTTGGTAAAATCTTGTGATTTCAAATTGTCCAAAAGTTGTTTGGAATGTTTTAAGTATCCACATCTGATTTACACCACTTCTTAAATATATTGTTGCACAGTACCCTTGAAGTTTCTCCTTTATTACTGTCAATATATCTTAGTGAGGAGTAAAGAAAGAGGCTTGGTTGAACATTTACTGGAACCCGCTATGTATCTTTCTTTGTTAGAATTCTTATGAAGTTTTGGAATCCAAAAAGATTATATATTAGTTCAAATTCAGTTTGTTTCTTTGGGATATTAAAAATATTCAAAACTGACATATGATTTTTAAGAATTTCTTTCTTAGAAAGGGAACTAGAACTATAAGTATAAGTTGGACTTGTGTTTTCTGCTCACATAGATGCGTTCTTTTTAATGAATTCTGCTCTATATGAAAACAAAGGCATGTCTTTTAATAATTGTTTATCATGGGAATTTTAACATAAGAAATGTCAGTTAGAAACTCATGTATCTTTCTAATGATTAATTCAACTTCGAAATTGCACTTAGAGAAGCAATCAGGCAAATAAGGATAATACTAGTATATGTACCCCTATATTTTATATATTTTTTTTCGTGATCAAAATTATTCATGAAACAATTATCATTATGTTACTTCACTAAGAAATATAAGAATATGTGCATCACAGACACGTGTTTCTAATATAAATAATAAAATACTGATAAAATTTTACAAGGCATTGAAGGTAGGAGTTGTTAAAATAAGATTGCTTTCATATTTTTTCCCCCTAGATTTTGTTTTATATAACTTACGTAACAGACTTATTTGAAAAGAAAACTGTTATATTTAAAACTGGATATAAAAAATTATTGAACTAATGGACATTCATGTTTTCACAGATAACTGAATTGTTTTGCTTAAAAATTATGTTTATAATAGACATTTCAGCAAGAACGCATGGAAGTTTAAAAAAATGTTTTATCTTCCGCAATACTTTTGGACATGCAAAATCTGTGATCTTTATCCTCTCACTCGAAATATTTCCTAGATTTTTCCACGGCGGGTTTGACTGGTTAGCAGCGGATGCTCACTTCTCCATGGTACCTGATCCCACCTCTGATGTTTTGGAGGTCTGTGTTTGCTCTGCTCCTGTTTTGTATTGCTTTATAGACTTTTGATCTTGAATACTGTTCGTTATCTCCTTATGTTGCATTTCTCTTGTCTTGTCAATGACATTTACTTTCCACATTCCAAGCATGGTTACAACAAAGCAATATAAATAAATTTTGAATAAATCAAACAAATGGAGCGGATATAAACACGTTTTAAATCAAAAATCATGTGTATAGAATAATAATCTTAACGTCAAACTTAATATAAATTAATTAAATATATCTTTCATCATATTTAATTTTTTTTTTAATTTTTCGAAGCATGTATTGACGTAACCATATCTCAAAAGTCACTCTCGAAATTTTTTATCATTTGTAAAGTATGGCTGGGAAAAACAGTTTGTCTAAAAAAAGTAACGTTTAAAGATTTCAACTGTTTGCATTCAAAAGAAAAAAAATATTATTAGAAAAGCCATTCCATTTTTTTCAAATCGTGTTCTTTTTATTAGACAAAACAATCATTTCTAGGTACAGAAAAAATCTCTTTAACTCATTTCATTCGAAAGCAATCCCCATACGTACATGTACTTAGGTTAGGAGCAAGAAAAATATCAATGCCTTTAATTTACAATATAGATTGATAAATTTGGACCCACAATAAAAAAGTAAATAAAAGAATTGGAGTGAAACATTCATGTTTATAGCCTGAATGAAGAAGTGAACATGTACCCGGTATAAGAATCAATTTTCTTATAGTTTCTTATATGTTCCCTCAATACAAGCGATGCATTCTTTTGAAAAATGAAGCAAAAGACATTCAAGATACAGTAATGAAGCTTTAATCTGATAGATGGTCATTGGCATACATATAATAAATCCAAAATACAGTGTTAAAGATGAGAAATGAAATTGGAAAGGCAACTCTTGAGACTTTATCTACCGTGCGAGCGGTTTTGAGATAGTCAATTTTTTTCACACCGATCGTCTTCCGTACATCAATGCACCTCACTGGAGTTCCTCCTTCAGAATTCATTAGAGGATGTGACGCTTGAACCTAAAATAAATAATATAAGATCTAAAAAGTGATATTAGCAACATTTTGACTTTTGGAGCATTATTATGCGTGTGTATTAAACAATGTAAAAACCGTTAAAAACCGAGTTTTGAATTTGACCTCTAGTGCATATACATGTAATTGCCATGCAAACAATACTGAATTTTTCAAATTAACATGTAAAATTTTAAGCTGTTTATTTTCTTTTGCATTTATTAATCCTTTTCCCTATGAAGGTTTTTTTTTTTTACCAATTCCAAATCCGGATGACACACATTTCCTGTTAACATCTATACTGGATCAGGTGTAAGAATTCATTTAACAGCAAATTAACTTACGTTCATTAAGGTATCTTTCAACATCGATTTTTGGTGTCGTCGTGTTTGAACATTGATATAGGCATACTCTAGTAAGGCAGCAAACACGAAGACTAAACACATTGAATTCCAGACATCTATAGCCTTAATATAAGACACACGTGGCAATGATGCTCTTATTCCGGAACTTTGCGTGGTTATGGTGAGTACTGTTAAAACACCCAAGGAAATTCGGGCTGGAATGGCATCTACGTGTACCCAGAATGAGACCCAAGAAAGGATGACAATGAGGATGCTTGGAATGAAGACCTGGGCCATATAATATCCAATATTTCTTTGAAAATGTAGTGTCGTTGTCAGGCAGGTAAAACTTGCAACTAAATGAAATGAAAATTTATCATATAAATGTACATCTATATATCATTCAGTCTGTGCATGTACATGGATATACTATACATATAAGAATAACTTATATTAGCCTATCAATACGAGCTCGTAAGAATGCTGACTGGTCGAAAGGGGATGATTAGTTCTTTACGACGCCTGATCCCGCCGATGGTGTTTTAGAGGCAGTTTCCTATGCTCTCATATTTTATTAATTCAGTGAGCTTGAGAACCGTTCGTTAGCTTTCAATTCACTATTTACCCTAATCCTGTTGTCAGAGAAAAATGAAGTTGATTACAAACCAGAGCTATATTTGAAAGTGCGAGAACATTTTCTAATGGAAGGTTGATCTCTGAAATGGAACTGTGGCATTTCTACTTCATCCACGATGACAGCATTAACTGGCTTCCAGTTAAAAAGGACATTTTCTTCAGTATACCCATCTAAGAAAATAGGAAAACAATATTTATGTAACGTACGTTTAAAATTTGCTTCCTTTCGTTCTCTAGATCTGTTTCTAAGTACGAGATCTTTAAACTGGTTTTTATGACAATGATGATTTCGAAGTTTCAAAGTTTAACAGTCTTCATTCAAACCAACGACTGCATTGCATTGATATGGGATACTTTTAATTTTTGGCTTGATGCCTTTTAATTTTAATGACTTTAAGAAAAAAACGAAAAAATAAGCATTTGCTTTTATCATATTATTATTTATAATGCTGGATATAAATGGGAAGAGAAGACGCGTCAAGCTTCAGACATGATTTGCTTTACAAATTTGAATAATTTTTTCCAAGGGTCAGGGAATTTCTGGATTCATTCAACAAAACTTACTCAGATTTTTCGTGATACATTGGCTCTGTTTGAAATAGAGATATTAATACATAATAGACATAGCTGAAAAACTTACATGTTTCTATGAAAACAGGGCAATCTTGTTCGTCCATGGGATAGTTGTACAAATTCATACGGCATGTTAACGTCAAAGACAACCTTAAAAAGATTGTTTTTCCATCGTTAATGTGCAATGCATTTCTATCTTGAATTTGGTTTTCAAGAATTATGAAGACTTACATAAATTTTGACTAATGATTTATCTTTAATAGATACCCTTTAAAATATACATGTAAATATTTATTATTGCAGGAACTAATGATAATTATGGATTATAGAAAAAAGTCCTACGTTTGTTGCTATAAAATATTAACTCCTGACTTTCAAACTTGAATCATTGTATGGTCACTACCTGACGCTATAGAAGACGGTACCGTTTCTGCTGATGTGAAGGAGTTTGTTAGGGACAGTAATGACGTGGAAGTGTCCCTCCTTTTCGTTGGGAAAATAAGTATCTGGGATCCAAACGGACGCCATCATCCGCTGGTCAAGTTCAAGGTTACTGAAATTACTTAAGTGCTCAAAGTTGAGGCGTGGGTCCACCCATGTTTGCCTCAAAAACACCTCCATTGATAATTCCTAAAAATGTTGGTTTGTGCACAGTAAAATCATATAATCTCTGAGAAGAAAAGGATTAGTCTTTGTAAAGCTTTTTTGTTGGAAATACTGACATAAAATCATAAGTTAATTCTAAAGTAAAAAAAATTGTTTACAACTAACCATCGCCATCTCGTTGATGGAGTTGATGCTCATGATATGAAATTGCAGAGTGACGTTTGTGGCGCGATCTATAAGTACAAACACATTTTTTAACAAATGTAACTATGTTAAGCTCCTTTCTGTCCGCTATCATTTTGTTTATTAATAAGAATTCAAAGAGTGTTTCAACGTAATGGTTCTCATGTATTCTGAACTAAAATGATCTAAAGAAAGAACGTCTGTTTAGTTTTAGGTTGTCAGCAGTCTGTGCACTTTTTTGTACATGAGTATTCCCCCAAAACCACTGGGCCTATTTCAGCCTCATTTAATTTCGCAATAATTATTTTTGTAAAGAGGATTCAAGTTGTACGAATAGAGCCTTGTCCATTTAAGGGGGAGATAATTAAAAAAATACTTGTCAAATTGGTTGCATCTTTTCTTTTTATCCAAGAACAAATGTGCACAAATGTTAAACTTATATAACATGGAAACGCCCTTACATGGAATAGAGAGTTTATACAAATTACCTCCTACTCTATGTCTGGACATACTGTAACTATGTAAAGAAAAATCTAACAAAATCTCAAGATTAGCAGGATCATGAATGTCATGGAGCATCCTTAGTAGAAGCAAGTTTGCTTGAAACATTTTCCTGTAATTTTAATGTGCCTATTTTAAAAATAACTTGATCCCCTTAAAACGGACATTTTTCACAGTCGACAGGGTCCCAGGGATGACGTTGTTTATTCCTCCCCGATTCTACTACTAAATCTCTTGGGAGACCTGTTTTTGCCCTGTTCACAGGTATGCATTGTTTGTGTGTCTGTTTTTTTTAAATGGATTGCTGTTCGTTGACTTTACCTTTTTTTTTCTTTTATATAAATTCCATTATTAGTTATCAGGACATTGGACACGGAGATATCAAGATAAAATAGGTTGAAGCAAATCCACATTAATCATAGTAGTATTGAAGCACTCCAAGGTATAAATAAAAGTTCTCTAACTTCTAGATGTATTATAACATCTTAGGAATAGTGTGGTGTCATATTCTGGGAAAAAGGAAATGGCTGGGTAACAGTGTAAGTTTCCTACAGATTCTGAAGTGTTTTTTGAACAGGAAGACGTCTTCACTTGAATTAAGTACATTATTCTTGACAAAAAAACTAGAAGAGCATAAAGCATAATTATCTCCTTCAAGTGACTGAAGATCGACATATTTATTTTATTTGAAATCAATTGTACATGTCATGTAGTAGATATTTTTTTCTACACATTCAGAATAATTTAAACATTGTATTGAAGGATACATAGCTGAATGATCATAGATAACCAAAAATTATAGATTTTATTTCTGCACATCAATCTTCGGCATAATCTGAGAATCTGACCTATCAGAAAACATCTGACAATTCCCTGCGTTACAAGCACTAAAGAACCGGGAGAATAAACAAGGGTAATTATTTGTAGACGATATCCATGTAAATAGGAAAATTGCAGGGAAAATTGCCGGTCATTTTCACCATGGAATTGGTGGTTGAATGTTCTAGGCAATACTGCTGAACATAAAGTTGTATGTGGAGTGTTTGGAGACAATGGATCTTGGCCATTCAATATTGTGTGTTCATTTATTATCGAAGTTATGAATAACTGCCAGTCGATAATTGAAATTATACCCTATATACATTTGTATATACAATAGATTTAACATATTTTTGAAGAAATTAATGACATGCCACATGTTGACGTATACATTTTTAAGGGAACAGTAATTTAATGAAAACTAATAAATGAATTAATTCATTTCATTAAATCAATGGAAATTGGTATTATTGATGTAAAGTGATGTGAATTAATGTGAAAACAGAAAAGAGTCTCATAAATCCAAGAAGGCAAAAATGTTGACCCCTAAGGCCGGTTTACACTATGCATCTTGACACATGCATCTAAACACATGCTTCAATTTTGATGCATGCATCTTCTTATTTACACTATGTGTCTTGATGCATGCATCTTTAGAATACTTTGTAAAGATGAAATTTATCTACTTAAAAAAATAACAATACCTTCAAATTTCATTTCCATATTTATTTATAGCTGAACAAATCATTCTTAATTTCCTTTTTATGACAATTCTTGGAAGATATAATTTATATTTATTCCAAAACAAAACCCCCTCTATATTATAATAGTCAAATAAGTTTTCCTAATAGTAGTTTTAATCAGTATTTTCTGTTTTTTGTTTATCTTGGGAAACTATTTTTGCAATTATATGAAGGAAAATATGGCTTATGATTCAATCTCAACTACCTTTCTTTTTTTTTACAAAGAAATAAACATTTCTTCAATGCTGCAACACCCATTTAATTTGAAACAAGGGGCTTTTACACTATGAATCTTGACACATGAATCCAAGATGCATGTGTCAAGATGCATAGTGTAAACCGGCCTTTAAAACAGCAGAGGTTGGATCATGTGGCTTACAGTAATAAACAGGCCCTATGATAGTCATACCTATGTATTGAACAGATATATATGTATAGAAGTGCAATTTTATTTTACAATAATGATCGAAAAAAGGTATCAAATATGACAAGCAACTAATGAACTTGCGATTGGTTAAAATATCTAACCGTAAATTTTGCAAAAAATCTCACTTTAAAACAAGGCTCTTATTATCATTGTAATCTACTGTAATTGTTGTCTTTAGTTAGTTATTATGCCTCCAAATATGAAACAGAAGTGACAGACGCCGTCTTTTTTTTTGAGTTTACAAGAGTTAATCAAGTCGTCATATTAATTGAAGTAACTATTGTTAACTGTAAATGTCAATATATCTAAATATTGAGTTGAAGCCCACAGTAAGCCCATTCGTCTCATGAAAAGTTTTGAAAAAAAAAAACTTTACTTCATAGGAGTGTAAAAATTCTAACAATGTCGGTTAATAAAGTAGAACCTATTGTCATTGTAATTACCTATTTATGAATACGTGTGAGCATAACGAACAGTGATCGAACTCAGAAAACCTTACGTGAACAGGCCTTAAATAGGGACTAGAAATTTCAGAGATGGGATCAGGTGACTGGGAGGAGTAAACATCCTTTGCTATATAAGCAATGTTAGAATCTGACTACAACAACCTGCTAAGAATAAACAAGGCTTTATTTCATTTTAAATTTCACTTAAAATAAAATTCAAATAAGAAGAGTCAGAAAGTATTGTATTACAGTACCTTCTTCATAATTTGGTGCAATTCTTGCATCGTATCTTGATGAATTAAGTAGGTGATTCAATATTTCTTTCCTGAAAAAAAGAGAGTAAAATTAGATTGCTTAATATGTATAGAAATATTATTTGATATATTCATGACTTAATTTCATCATAATAAACATAATAAAACGACGGGGATCAGTATTTTCACTTTGTTAAGTTTTAACTTATTAGGAATGTAAACGCCTAGTTAAAAAATAATTGTCAATAAAATAGTGTTGTTAAAAAGAAAAGTGCTGCAATTTATCGCTTTTAATGTTCTCTCTATAGGAATTTGCAAAAATCATAATTAACTGTAATTGTTTAAAATTTTCTCGAAAAAGATTCGGCTGCCTTTCATTAATATACATATCATGCTAAGTCCACTTTACAAGTAAGGCGTGTACTGTAACTCAAGGTTGCGGGAAAATGAATAAGAGAGGACACAAAACACTGCTGCACGTGTGATTTGGCAAAGAAGCCATAAACATCTGTGATGTGTTATCAATTACAACTGATAAACAATGTAAATGATATGCTGTCTGCATCTGAATTATAAACACGTTCATCTTATGAATTTTCTATTTAATTTAATTCTTATTAATATTGGATGCTAAATGAATATGTAATTAAAGTCTCATTTAAACATGTTAAAAGTGAGTCAAAGTTGAAAAGTTTTAGGAACAATTCTTATTCATCGTATTCATTATTTTTTTTTTGTTTATCTGCATGTCTATCATTGGAAAAAAGCACGAATCTAATATAATAATTTTGAACTGAACTCACCTTGCAAGTTCACAAAAACACAAAGAAAGCCGGTAGAAGGTCACAACTATAAGCACAAATCTCATAGCTAGTGTACACCCAGCGCCTACATTGATTAAGGTAAAGCCTCAAATACATCAATCCCTGTTCAAAATGGAATAGCATGTATATATGTGTTATTGATCTGGATCGCCTTTTCTCTCTACCAGGAGAACAGAAACTCAATACACATACAATAGGTAAAGCAAACACAGTGTTGTGTGTGTATATGACTTTTTCAAACTCGATTTACTTGTTGCATAATCCTAATTACTATAATAATAATAACGAACATCAATTATGTCATATGTACTCTATTTGCATTACATAAAATGATTTACCATAATTATTTGATAGAGGAATCGGAGAGAAACTTATTTAAAGATAACGGATTTATCAGGCATTTATTTTAATGTCTCATATTTTTAAAGTTTTAAGTACCAGTCCACATAAAAATCAGACAAAACTGTAAAAAAGTGATACATGAAGGTTTTCAGAATTTGATGATTTTCCACTCATAGATTTATTTTGAAGTATGAACAATGTATGTAAAATGAAAAATGTTTTGAATCATGGTAACCATGGAAACCCGGCCAAAGAAATTTCCTTAGCAACCAGCGGATTTTTCAGTGTTGAAGGACAAAATATCACCTATATTTGAGGCTTAAAATAACATGTAAATACCATGAGAATTATTCTTACTTATGGGTGTAATAAAGATACACATTTATTGTGTTCTAATAATGTAATAAAAAATATTTAGGTCTTAAGTCAGTTCTGTGGTAGACATTGGAAGGTACACATGTTTTACAAGTTTTGCTGATTCAGCATTTTTCGTGATTTTGGCAATATTCAAGGCCAAATTTTAAAAATGGCCAGATTAATACAGTTGTTGCATGTATCTCACATAAAAGCACAGGTATCTCTATTTAGAATTTGAAGTCAAATCCGTGGGCTCTTTTGAAAATCGAATCTGTTGCCTAGCAACAAAAATGGGCTTTTTGATGCATAAAATGAGAAACAATGTAAAAAGTTTACGGAAAAATCAAATGAACGGTTATTTATGATAAACGAGATACACATTTTAAAATAGTATAATTAAATTCGGTCTCCCTAGCACATTATTGAATATTGCATAATTCTTTATCTCCATAGCAACGGCAGGTTCTCCATAGCAACAAGGCAAAGAAAGGTAATTTTGGCGTGTATTCGTGTAATCTTATAAGGCTTATTCAAAATAAGTCAGAAAAATCCGGTTGAGCAAAGTTGACAATGAAATGTTGGTCAATCTTAATTTTTTTTGTCTTTAATCAACACATGGCAACGATTCCCATGGAGTGCATGGCAACCAATGTACCCTATTCCTCCTGTAAAGAGATTTGACTTTTGGATCAGTGTTCGTCATGGAAATGAATATTAAATTAATGTGTTGATGATTGTATTTGTGGAGAGTGCTGAAAAAATATATGAAATGTTCCATCAATTGTTGTCATGGCAACAACTACATGTGAGTGAATTTAAAATGGGCGAGTTCAAAAAACACAGTATAAATTCTTAAACAGAACTAGTACTGTGACTGGGCGAATTTTAAACGGGGCAAAATTTCTTGTATGTGTGAACGGGCAAAAATCATATGATACCAAATTAAGGATGTTTTCCATAGATAATGTTTTAATGTAACTTGTACGATATTGTGGATTAGATTCAAGACACTCACGGTGCATGGTTTCAATGGCTGCATTTTATTTCCGGAACTGTTTTCATTTTCGATATTTTAAAGTTTTCATCTCTGACATTTTTCAAGCAGTACTTTTCTGCAATGAAAGTAGCTAGGATTAAAGATTTAACTCATGAAAAATATCACAGAATAAATCATGAATAAATCATTGAAATCCAAAATAATGAGTTTTGCAATTGAATTTGGGTTAAGTTTTAAACCAGAGGCCATGACATGGGTGGGTGGGGGGGGGGGGGGAGTTAGGTTCGATATTCAGTACCAATTTTTTTTCCAAACAGCACCACTTTGAATTCCTAATTTTAAACCTATTCTGCAACATGTCTGTGGAAAGTGGGGGGCTAAACCTACGCAGCAATGTTCAATGTCTATACTAGGAAAAGGCTAAGCCCCCTAGCCCCCTCCCCCCCGGTTCCGACGCCTGTGTAGTTTGGTAACTTTATAACCATAGACAGAGTAGGGGAATAAAACAAAATGCATTTCAACCACTCTAAGTAATATTCAGCATTACTCAGTAGTGTCCCCACCCCACAAGAACCCCTGACCCTCGGGTCCACACATTTCACAATTCTTGCTCATCATAAATGTTTGATTAACATCATGGAGTGGACTTCAAAGAAATAATTCATTTTTAGTATATAGTCAAAGACACCCCACCCCCACCGCAGCCCTGTATGATACCCCTGTTCCGGGGGGCTTGGAATTCACAGTTCTGGAAGAACGATCATAGCTATATCATAACTATATGTCTGTAGTCAGTTTGTTAAATACCTGGGAGCAAAGAAGAAGATTAATTATCAAAGATTTATTGCAATTTCACCATTTGATGATTAGAGCCCCACCCTAAGTAACACCAGAAATCCTGGTCCTTGCGCCATGAAATTCACAACCTGATCCTTTGGCCATGAAATTCACAATTTTCAAAGAGGCACTCTTCCTCATTGTAACTACGCATGTAGTTAGTTGTTTAATACCCAGGGACAGAGAAGAAGATTTTCCATTTTAAAAATGCATGTTTACGATATAATCAAAAGAGCCCTGCACCCTAACACCAGAACTCCTGACCCTGGGGCCATGAAGTTCACGATTTTAGATGAGGCACCCTTCCTCATCATAACTATGTATTTTTCAAAGAATTAATGCATGTTAACTATATAATCATTTAAGCCCCGTCTTAACACCAGAACCCCTGTCCAAAGGCCATGAAATTCACTACTGTAGAACAGGAATTATTTCTCATCGTAACTATGTACTTAATTAATTTTACCCAGGAGCAGAAAAGAAGATTTTCAAAGAAATAATGTATTTTCACTATATAATCTATTTAGCCCAGCCCTAGCATATAGAACCCCTGACCCTGAGGCAAAGAATTTTACTGTTTTGGTACAGTGTAGAGGACTCAATGCTTATTACAATCATTTCTACAGTTTCACTGCTTGATATCTAGAAGTAAAGATTTTCAAAGACTGCATGAATTTTAGTGGTTTTGGTCCCACCCCTCAGGCCCCAGGGACCCTGAAATTCACAATTTTGTTTTCCTCTTTTACCCATAGATGGGTTATTTGAAATTTGGTTGAAATTGGTTCAGTGGTTCCAGAGAAGAAGCTAAAAATGTTCAAATGTTTACCACCGCCGAATTACGTACGACGACGAACGAACAGAGATAGCAATAGGTCACCTGAAAGACTCAGGTGACCTGAAATTCTCAGAGGCACATCTCCCTTTTAAAGTGCAGTTTTAAGTTTGAACTCAGATATGCAAGGATGGAAATTAAAAGGCATACAGAAACCACTTCTGGTAAATGCAGACCCTTAGTAAACAATTTCGGGGGTGGGGGTGGGGTGGGTGTTACAACCATATATTTTCAGTTTGGGCACTATCAACAACCGAAAATTCCTTGGCAAACAAACCAAAAAATAGAAGATCGTCAGATATTATTATTATTGAGGGGGCACATGTATATTGTAGTAAGTATCGAATAGTTTTCACGGCCCTATAGTATTCTATAGAAAAAAATAGCAAATGAAATAAAATTGTCGGAATTGAAATTTTAAGCTTCTTACACGGCTATAGGAAAAAACAATCACCATTGAAGGAATTCTCAACAGACAGTAGAATGTTTTTAATACGAAGACATCACAATTACGCCTGTACATGTAGCACAGGGAAAGATATTAATATAAGTGTTATTGCTACTTGTATAAGAATGTATTGAATTATAAATGTTTTTATATTTTGAACATGAAATAAATTTATTTAAAATTTTATTTCCAGCTGTTTGGCAAGCAAAAAAATTGACAGAAAGGGATCCTGCAGATATCCAAGAAATACAAAAAATGTCGGAAACTTGAAATTGAATTGTAGAAATAAAATTGTCGGAATTGAAATTTTAAGCATGTCGGAAATCCTATGCAAAATACTGGAAATTAAATGCAGTGAAAGAAAACATGAATATGAAATGAGCAAGCACACAAAATGTTTATCTAGCATATATTGTGTTCATTTGAGATAATTTCCATTTTTCAAAAGATAAGATATTTATAAGCTTGTATCTTTAACTTGTTGTTGGGAAGCTGACACTTATTCAGTTCACAAGGAATCTGTAGCTCTGGAGCTTCAAACGCTATTACCCAGAGAACAGGCCCATAGCAACGCGTGTCAAAGTAGTTTGTTAGTGTAGATTCAAGTATGCATAGATTCAAGTTTGTTCAAATCATCCCCCCCCCTCTTTTAGGATGGGAATACTTAGGCATTTACTAAATTGATTTTCCCTAGCCACAGTGCTCAGGTGAGCGATGTGGCCCATGGGCCCCGTGTTACATGGATGAGTTCGATGTCAATTGTTTTGTTTTTGTTGCATATTTCCATTTTAAAATATGAACTAACCGGATACTTTAAGATGACCCTCTGACTATCGTTTGCATAATTTTTGAAATGTGTTTGCACTACATTAATGCAAATCTCACCAAACAACATACAAAAATAAAGTTTCTACTTGTGTGACTAGCCATGTTTTAAATTCATTTGCATTTGTTCTAGCTTTGGACATCTTGCAATATTTCTTTCAAATGGTGTAAACTTCAATTTTACGTAAATAACCGTAACTGACTGCGATGCGACTTTTCTTATTTTGATTTATGTTAATGTGCCGCGTCGCCCTCATGGAGCAGTGGTTAGAGCGTCTTCACTAGATTCACGAAGTAAGGAGCTGATCATTACGTCGCGGGTTCGAATCCCACTGTGGGACGCAGTAGGTGCTACCTTTGAGCTACCGCGAACGGTTCTTTTCGTTTGAAAAAAAACTCTCCAATCTATAAGTATCAACAGAATAATTAAAACCTGATCTTCCTATTCAATTGGAAATATCATTGGAAATGTTTCCATAGTGACGTTATTCATTTTATTTATCTATTTATTTTCATGAGGAATTAATTCATACATTGTAATACTTTCCGAGAAATCTGTGACGAGTGCCTAA